CTATGTATTTACCTTAGACTCTTTCTTCAAGTCATTTTTTTTTAAGTTTCAAAACATACTTATTTTAATGCAACAACAATTGTCTTGGAATTTAAACACCACTGTCCATTTTTATGAGATAAGAAACCGAGAATTAACTTATACTATAGAACTTTGACAAACCGTCACTGCCTCTTGGTTACGTCATGATACTTACTTGTGCTTAAATCTGTGAGCTGCCATCTTGACCTCTCAGTGGTCAGGGTCCATATGAAAATTATCATTAGGCATAAATTCTTCAGCCAGTTCCTATTACTTTATATAAAGCAAGTCAGTTTTGACTAAGACAGAACCAACTTGACAAACCAGTATGTTTTCCTCATGCAAATATTCTCTTAAGCTATGTTAATGATACTATGTATTTGCTTGGAAACCTGCCTTTCTTCAAAATTCATGTCAATCCTCTTATAGCCCGGGATGACTCACCCTGTGCCAATGTTATCTCAAAATGCATGTTGTGGGTGAGGGGCCTGGTGCCACTCTCTGAGTTTTGAGACATTTCCTTTCTCTAATTAACAGCCTGCTAGTAGGTATATAACTTTCTGCTAAAAAATAGCAAGTAGAAAAGGGGCACTCTTTCTGTCCCCTTCTGATGTCTATGTTAGAAGCTTTCTCTATCTCTTTTATACTTTAATAAAACTTTATTACACAAAAGCTCTGAGGGATCAAGCCTTGTCACTGGCCCCAGATTGAATTCCTCTCCTCTGGAGATCAAGAATCCCGGCATCTTTCATGGCTTAGCAACAACCTTTCATTAGGATGATAATAAATAATAGAATAACCAAGTGCAATTGTTAGCAAGGTATTTTTCCAAAGTACATTTAGCTAGAGAGTGTAACATCATGCTTCTAGTCCTTGTGAATCTGAGAATGCCTGGCATCCTCTGTGAGGAGAAATAGAGCCTGACTGGTTGAACTTTGTAGTTATGAGCTGGGGCTCACCCTGTTCAAGTGCCCAAAAGGGCAGAAGGATCTCAGGATGTTTTTTCCTGTTAGCAATTTCACCAAGAACAAAGAATTTTATAAAACATCACATCCTTTGAGGATCTGTATGGACAAATAAGACTGAGTTCATTGCAGCTTCTGTTACGAAAGGACATTTGGTTACAAGGGGCTTGCTTTTGTAAAAATTGTGCAGAACTAATATCCTTCAAAATCTCCCTCAAAAAAAAACACAAAATCTCCTTCAAAAATCTTAAAACATACACACACATGCAAGTGGTGAGCTCAAAAATACAGACCATCAAAATCATTTAACAAAATATAATAGTCATAAATGGTAACCAATGGTGAGGCTTCCATGAGAAATCTTATTTTTTCAAAATTTATAAACTACCCACAATGCATTTACTAATATGTTAAACAAAGATGTCATTCAACTGACTTCTCAGACCAAAGGGCGATAATATAGTACTTCAAAAGTAGATCCTCATGATCAAAAATTTCAGCTATTCATTCATTCTCTTCAATCAACTTATGGTGACAAAAGTGCTTATCATGGACAAGGCCACGTGACCTGAGGAATAAAGAAATGAATTAAAAAATCTTGATCTCAAGGAACTTAGTCTGCTAGGGAAGATAAATAGAACACACTATAAAGGTAGAAAGCCTCATATAGAGTTGCAAACAACGTATTATGGATTATGAGGGCCTAATCTGCCCCTTTCTGTACATTTATTTTCTTGGCCATGTGGGATCTTACTTACCTGACCAGGGATTGGACCCCGGTCACCGCAGTGGAAGTGCTGAGTCCTAACCACTAGGCCTCCAGGGAATTCCCATGTCCATTCCTACTTTATCTACTGTGGTCCAGGCCCTTCTCATTCCTCATCTGAAAAGTGATATAAATTTCTAAATCTGTCTGCCATTCAACCCTATGGACCACACTGCCTCCAGAGCAACCTTTCTAAATATGGGATCTGATCCAGTACTTCCTCCACTTTAAATCACTCCCATGAAAGACGTCCCCATGGCTTATTGAATAAAGCTCAACTTCCTCTGTACAATGGCGCCTGCCTACTTTCCCCATCTTATCTTTCACTACCTCTTCCCTTCATCCTCTGTAATCTACAAGTCAGCCAGTTAAGGGGCTATTTCAGTCATCCAGATTTCCTTAAGCTTTAACACTAGCTCAAGTATCACCTCTAACAGGAGGCTTTCCCTGCTCCCTCCACCTATCTAAGAAGCACTCACTGACTGGGAAGCATTGATCAAAGCTCTCAGAGCCTCCCTCCCACGCTTACTCTGGTTGCAGCACAAACATTTCCCTGTAGTGACGTTTCCCTGAGTATTCATCATTTGTGAACAGAAGTATCTGGAACAGAAGAAGAGATCCTCATTTTATTGCACAAATGCTTACAGTAGAGAGAGTAAGAGCTACTTGCAACACTCACAGGGGTCAGCATTTGAATTGGACTTTGAAGAATGGGCAGGATTTCAGGCAGATTCTTTACCACTGAGCCACCTGGGACAAGTGGATAGTCAAAACACAAAATTGGAAGTCTGTTGAGGAAAATCACGGAGGGCCTCCAATGACAGATTTCTTTGGTGAAATGGAGTTGTGTTTAACTGTCCTGATATTAATGAAAGGGTTTATGTTTGCAATGAACAGAAAAGCAGGTGTTTAGGATAAATCAGACCTATTCTTCCCTGTTACTAGGTCTCAGCACAAACATTCCTAGGAGAAAAAGTTCTAACTAGTTGGTCCTAAATAATTTAGGGACATCCTGCTGATATTCATTATCACATAGCTATTTTGTTCTTGCTATTTCAATCCTTGGTAACAAAGACAGTTATGAAACATCTTCACTTTCCTTTTCTGTTTGGATGGGTTAATCAAATGGACATCCATACGTTCTTAAATAATAATCTATTTTCCCCACTAAAATTTCATGGAAAATAATGCACATTTCTTTCTGGATCCAAGCAATCTTTATATCTCTGAAAATCTTCCTCCCCACCCCCCACCCCTACCCTCCCCCCCCCCCCAAAAATGTCAATTTGGAGTCTATGTAGTCACAGTGCCCTCTGCTGGCTACAGAGAGGAACAGCTAAATCCGGGAGGAGAAGGAATGCAGCAGCTCCCAGAGCTGCGGGGCGATGCCAGCACTTCCCCACTTCTTCCCCTTTTATTTTAAGCAGAATGTTGAGTTAATAGCTCCTGAAGGTAAGCTCCTCAAAGTAAGGGCTTCCCTGGTGACTCAGATGGTAAAGAATCTGCCTGCAATGCAGGAGGCTGGGGTTTGATCCCTGGGTCAGGAAGATCCCTTGGAGGAGGGCATGGCAACCCACTCCAGTATTCTTGCCTGGGAAATACCACGGACAGAGGAGCCTGGCAGGCTGTAGTCCATGGGTCTCAAAGAGTCGGACATGACTGAGCGACTAACACACACACAAGGTAAGCAAACTCATTTTAGCAAGAATCAGACAAGCGCTCCAACAAATTTCACCTTTCCCCCTGTTCTTTTGGAGGACCCAAAGCTTCCAAAGATTTTTTTTAAAAGAAGTGGCACATAAATATAAACAATAGTTTCCCTATCTCCTCCATTTTCTTGGCCTCTTGACCTCATTTTCACCGGCTTTCATAAGACAAAAGAAAGCTTTCAGTTAGGGAACTCTTTAAGGAATCTGGCAATCAAGGATCCAGTGGCCAGCCTCATCCCAATCTGGAATACAACCAGGACACCTCCCAAGTTCAGGCCTGATGTACCATTTAAACTCCCACAACCTTAAGATTCGTGCTGAAGCCGAAGTTCCAATACTTTGGCCACCTGATGCAAAGAACTGACTCATTAGAAAAGATACCGATGCTGGGAAAGATTGAGGAGAAGAGGACAACAGAGGACAAGATGGTTGGATGGCATCACCTACTCGATGGACATGAGTTCTGGGAGTTGGTGAAGGACAGGGAAGCCTGGCATGCTGCAGTCCATGGAGTCGCAAAGAGTCGGACATTTCTGAGCAACTGAACAACAACCTTAAGGACAGCGAACAATAAGAAGAAGAAAAAGATCAGCAAAAAAAAAAAGTTTCAAGGGATAGAAAGGCGATTTTTAGCCAGCACCTAGCAGAGTCTCTGGCCACCTGCTAGGAGAGTTAGAAGCGGTAAGATACGGGGACACGCACTGCAAATGATGGAGTGTGATCCTCATTAAAGGTGTTTTTATCATTGCAATCTCAGACTGAATTGCAATGCCAGGAAACGTTCGTGGCTGGCCCGCAAGGAATAAGGCTTCCCCAAGTTCAGAGACATCCCTTTTTCGGCAAAACCATTTCAAAAGCCCTTCCCAGCCTCTTGTGGGTCCTTTAAGGAAGGTATTTATATTCAGCCCAGTTCTGAATGGGTTCCTCAGCCCTAATTAAGGGAACACCTATTCCTTTTGTGCCTCACTTCCGTGGGGTTTTTTGTTTTGTTTTGAGTTTGCAATGAATGCGGAGTCTTGTACCTGAGGCCCTTAGGTAAGCTCTCACCTTCCATCTCCGCGCGACACACCTTTCTTGCTGCCTTCTTGAGCAAAGCCTGGGTGGGGAAGCCGCAGTCCCTTTGCCTTCCCCGCAGCCAAGGAGGCACAAACTTAAGTCCCAGCCCATTGCAACCGGAAGAGCAAAGAAAGAAAAACCACAGAGGGCTAGGAGTTGGGACTACGAGAGCGGCGGGAATCACTGTGAAGTTGCCTTGCCAAGCCGGGGGTAAGGGTGAGGCGAGCAGGGTCAAGTCCCTCCGAAGTAAGGCTCGGATCATGTCTTTAGGTCATATTTTCATACTTTGTTCTTCTTGGAATATTTTTAGCATTAACTTTGCACTTAAAGGTATTGCATTAAAACTTTCATCTTCATTCCTGAGTATCTCGTTGTCCCCTGCCCCTTAAATTTTGGGCTTCAACTCAAACCCCCTGGCGATGGGTGTGATTGCGTAGCTGCAGGCAGCTCGGGAGCCGACGATACTCCGACTCGCTCGCTCGGCTAATTTGGGGGCAGCCCGCCCCCGCCCCCCGAGAGCAACCAGTTTGGTTCAAGGAGAACACCGAAAGGACGGCGGCTCACCTGGTTCCGGCTGCTCCAGACTCCGCGATCTCCTCTGCTAACAGCCGAGGCCCGCCCTGCTCCCGGTGGGGAGGACTCCTCTCGCGTCTGTAGGGCGCCGGCTCGAAAGCAGCCCCCCTCCGCGCCGCCGTGATTATCCGGCGGCTCTCGGGAGAGAACTGCCCCCCAAGGGAGGCCCACTTCCTCGGCGCGTTGCGGGCGCATCCCCCGCACGGATGGGAGGACCGCGTGCTGTCACTCCCGACCCGAGCGATGACTGTGGGTCAGAACACCACCTCGATCTCCCCACCCCAAGCCGCTCGGTCCCCGCAGCGGCGGCCCAGAGGCAATCTTGATTAACTCGGTCTCAGGGCCCAAGGGATTAGACTCCGTGAGGGTCTGTAACAGTCTCTTGGGCGGGCGGCAACTCTTAAAGCTGGACCGAGCATCAGATCTGGGTAGGATGTAGCATTCGGTGTCTTTCGTGAAAAGTCACCCAGCAAATGAAATCTGAGCCAACATGCAGTGCCAGCGGTGCCTCCGAACAAATACGCCCTCAAAGCAAACTCCACCAATCGCTGCCTGGGCAGCCTTGAAATCGCCATCAAGAGGCATGTACAAGAGTTTAGAGAAGAAAACGGTTTCTGGTGGGATCTGGCCAAAAATAAGTCCAGCCCCTCAGAATACCAGCGCGGGGCGGGGGTGGGGTGGGGTGGAATTTGTTGTTTCCACTCAACTCCTTAATAGGACCCCGAGTTTCTCTGATGCTCTCTAAAAATGCCTGTCCGCTGATTACTCCAGACTTCTTACAAAGCTTGTCTGAGACTGGCAGCTAAGAATGCTAAACAAATACTTCTGGAAAATGAAAATGGAGGTGAAACACGGCTGTTTATGCCACACAGTTGTTTTCATGTGTTAAGGTGCACATTTCCCTCAAAGCTCCAAAGACATACTTTGCTTCAGGAGGCCTGTTTTCAGATTTTTGGTCATTTTTCAGGCCTTAGTCAATGCATCACAAAGTCCCTAAATACAAGAACCAATGCCAGATTTAGCAAATAAAAACACCCAGTTCAAGGTGAATCTCAGATAAACAGCAAATATTTTTTCATGCAGTATGTCCTTTACAGTATGTGGGACACACTTATACTTTCAAAAGTATTCGTTGTTTAACTGAAATGTAAATTTAACAGGGTGTCCTGGGTTTTTTTTTTTCTGGCAACTTTTAAGAATAATGCAAGGACTACTTGAATTCTTTTGTTTATAATCCAACAAATAAGACACAAGTCTACATGGAGAGGTAGGCAAAAAATATCACAAGGATTCTTAATAATTTATACACAAAAAAGAATAGTCACTTTGAAATATTTATTAGGAAAGCAGTAAAAAGCTTATTTATATTAATTGAAGAGCTTGTCCAATCGGGTAGTTAAGGATATTCATACAGGGATCTGCAAACTGCCCCCTGGGGGCCGGTCAGGCCTGCAACTACTTCTTGGGTGCTTTTGAGCTAAGAATGGTTTTCACACTTTTCAATGGTAGAAAAGAATCTAAAGAAGAATAATATTTTGTGGCAAGTGAAAGTTATATGTGTTTCAAATTTCAGTATCCATAATTGAAGTTTTATTGTAACTCAGCCACACCATTTTTTTTTTACTGTTTTGGGCTGTTTTCAGGCTATAAAAGCAAATTTGAGTTATTGCAACAGAGATGAATCAACCTGAAAAACCAGAAATATGCACTATCTGGGCCTTTACAGAAGTCTGTCAATCTCTGATATGGATGAAACCACTGCCTGTAAAGTGGTGATACCAATAATCAGTAACTCTGTCAGCTATAACTCTGACTGTACTAAACATTTTCCTCATTTGCAGAAACTATTTTCCTAGTAGTTTAGAAAAAGACCATATTTTTATAGATACAAAATTTTGGTAAATTGAAATCAATGGCGTTTGAATGAGATTGGTTTTAACAATACCGGCCACCTCTGCTTTTCACAGTTCTAATTCACCCTTTGTACGCTGCTACACCGCCTCACAAACCGCAGCATCTCTGTGGTTTTTATAGCCCCAACTTGCTCAGCATTTTATCAAAGCAGTTCGCCTGCCACCTAGTGGGAAAAGGTGGGAGTGTATGATTATCATTTATTTAGGTAAACTGACTGGCAAGCTTTAAGCTGTGGGACCTTGGACAGGGATGATTACAATAGTAATTACATTTGAATGGTAGTTTGTCATTTACAAAGCACTTCCTTGTATAGTATTTTAATTAATCCTCTCTCCAGACAACACAGTGTTATAAGCAGATCTTCTTTGACCTATTTTTCTGTTGACAGAGTCAGAACATTACCTTATTTATTCAGGGTCATACCAATAGGCAAGTGTTTTGTTCACAGACGGCCTCTGAACTTAGGTTCCCTCATTTCTATATTTCTAGTTCTACTCTATAGAAAGCTTCTATTTGCCACAAGTATATTTATTTTAGTAAATTTCCAAGGATAGTCTTTTTAAACAAACATGAGCCATCCAAAATATCCCTTGTCAAGAAAAAATTCTAAGGAATACAACATGATTTATTCTAGGTAAATGTTTAATTAATGCTTATCAAAACCAAGGTGTAAGTTAAGATCCATTTTCCAAGGGAGGGTGAATAAATTGGGCAGAAGACACTTAAGACTTAATCCTTGGAGGGCTGTTTGATTACTGGCAGAATACCAGCCACCTTTAAATCCTTTTTGATTAAGACATATAATAATCATTTTTCCAATGCAATATGATTCCCTTACTTTTAGACCTAAAAAAATGATGTTTGAACAGAGCTTTCAGAGTGTAAGACACAGAGGTCTCAAAAAGAGATCCATTTTAATTGCTCTGTGTCTCAGGAACTTCTGGAAGCTTGTTGTGAATCTGCAAAGGGATCTTTGAGCTCTCTATGCTAAATCTCATTTGGAAAAGGAGATTTGTGGTCTCTTCCAGTGCTTATTAAGGTGCCTCCATCTTGAACAGCAGCCTGTGTGCTTTAGTGATGACCAAGAACCAGATTAAGTGAGCCAAAGGTTAGGGCAACCCAAAAGAAAGAGACACATATACAACATTTCATTGGCTGAATCTGCAGTGGGACACACAATGGGAATATACTCAATCACTGGCTACCTGCGAAATGCAGTCATACTTGTCGACTGCACCCAAAATCACACAAAGGGTCAAACGAGAAAGAACAGTTTCCACAGCTTTGCAGATCATGGTTCTCAGACTGTGCCTGTTTCTTGTGAACACGGCCCCTGTGGGAACACTTTAGTATTACAGTCATCCCTCAGTATCTCTGGAGGGAGGCAGGGGAGTTGGGGGGGAGGGGGCTGGTTCCAGGACCTCACTCCACCTCTCGCAGATAGCAAAATGCACAGATGTTCAAGCTCCTTACATAAAATGGTGTAGTATGCTTGGCCCTCCATATCTGTTGGTTTCACATCTGCTGAATCAACTGCGGATTGCATTTTTCACATTCAACTGGTTGAATCCAAGGATGTGCAACCAGAGGAGGTTCAACCTGGGGATAGGAGGGCAGACTGTATTTGGAAATAGCTGCACTTTCAGATTAAAATTACAGCTTGAGGTAGGGGTGTGACAGCTAAGGCACCTGGGACATGGGAATGAAATTCTTTTATTGCCTTACTTTCAGCACAATCTTAAGTTTAACCACAGGTGATGCCTACTGTTTGCAAGCTTTGCTGATGTGATTTGTATTTCTGAAACTCTAACTTGGACATAATCTTGGACCTGGTTTATTGGTTGCCCCTATTGTCTTGACAGCTAACATTGTGGCTGAGCCATTTTTAGCTGCTGAGGCCTGGCTATGCACGTGGCAGTACATGTCTCAACTCAGGTGTATCTTCACAATTATGCGAAGAGGGTAGTACTGATCATTTTTAAATAGCCCCTGAGGTTCACCACTGGTTTTCTCAAGCAAGTCAGGCCATCCTAAGTTGTCGCTATAAATTCACAGCGCAAAAGTTCCCTGAAGTTGCTACTTATTTATATCACAACTAGTATTGTTGCTGCTACTGCTAGTGCTACCAACAACAGCTGACACATATAGTGATCCCTTTTGCTAGGCACCATCCTAGGAGCTCCATATACATGAACTAAATCAATCCTCTAAGGTTGTACCTGTGGGACACAGTCTATTGTCACCCCCATTTTACAGATGTTAGCCCAGAGAGGCTAAGAGACTCGTTCAAGTTCACTGATGAATTTGAACATAAATGCAAGCAGTCCGACTGCACAGCCCTAGCTTTTAATTAATATTGCCTCAATCCCAAAGCACAATCAGAAGAAAAGAGACACTGTTTACTCAATGAAGTCCAGCGACCCAGCTTGGCACTGACTACCTTCCATGATCTGGATGCACCTGATGTTTTCCTCACATTGTGCCACCATTCAGCCGAGTCTACTTCAGCCGCTTCAGAGGACTTACTGAGCAGGACTCTGTGGAGCTCCTGGACACAAAAGCCTTTTGTGTCCCCCATTGCTTGACTACAGGAACTAGGCTTCATTCAGCCTCCAAGACCTTCCCTGAGTTCCAATGGGCAGGTTCAAACAGCTGCTTAATTAGGGAAGGGAGGGGATGCAGAAATAACGAGGAACAGTCAAAAAGCAGCCTTGGGGCAAGGTCCTGGTTTGCCTGGGTACACACAACAGCCTTGCATTGATCTGTTTTGCAGATACTGAAAAGCCCTCCAGTTGGGCAAAAGTTAATGATTAAAGAGGGTACTCTGCCCACAAGTATACAGATCCCAGACCAGTTGAGACCTGAATGCTGATGACACTGACTCCTATTACATCACCACCAGCCCATCAGAAGAATATCCACGAGCTGACCACACCCTCTTTGAACCACTACTATAAAACTTCTCACTACCCTCTCAAAGTTGGGACACACGATTTTGAGGGCATTTAGGCTGCTGTGGACCCCTGTGCCTGGCAAAGCAGTAAAGCTAATTCTTTTTTACTTCACTCAAAACTTTGTCTCCAAAAATTAATTTGGTGTCGGGGTACAGAGGCCGGGTTCAGCTTCATTGTTGGGAAAAGGTTACACCTTGATTCATGCTGGCCCTTTTGTACTATCCCCTCCATCATCCCTCCCCTTGTTGAACTTCTACTCATCCTGTAAGGCCCAGCTCCAATTTGATCTCTTTGGTAAATACCTGAGGCCCCAACTGGAAGTAAACA